TCTCTCTCTCTCTCTCTCTCTCTCTCTCTCTCTCTCTCTCTCTCTCTCTCTCTCTCTCTCTCTCTCTCTCTGTTTGTCTGAAAATCATTACGCCGTAACTGCTGAGAGTACGTTCAGGATTGCAAATTCCGAACGTTTCTCAGCGCGTGTTATATTTCGTCGTCGTCGTCGTCGTCGTCGTCGCGATTTGAGGATCGCACGCCGTCTCGGAGGGAAGTCACTCTCGGGAAGACGACGACGACGACAACGAGATAAGTGCATTTTGCTCTTATCTTTCCGTACGTGTGACATCTAATAGGGTCTTGTTGGCGCACAAAGAAGTAGGGGGGCTCGACCTTTAATTCAGTGCAATAGTGTTCCTTCAGAAGGTATCTAGTAGAAGACATGTATGTACAAGGGATCCTTGAGGAACGGCCGGGGCTCGCGAAAATAAACGACCCCCGTGAAAATGGGACGACGCAACGAAAAGTGATGAAGGGGTAGAGAGAGCCCTACTGAACCAAATTACCGGCAGAACCCACACACGTTTACGAGGAGAATTACAGCTTATATAAATTAATTTTTAATAAGTCTATCTTTGATTTCTTTAGGCGCGGGTGACTCTAAACTGGCCCCCTATATGTTTGTATTTTGATCACTTCCTGAATTAATTGCAGCACGGATTTACGCTACAGTCTGCCGTGAGCGCGTTCGAGAAAGGTCCGTCTCTTAGCTCTTCCTGCGAAAGCTATCCTCCCCCGCGATCGCGGCACGACGGAGGGAAGTCAGGGAGTGAATTGTGTATTTTGAAACGAGATGAAAATTGCAAAAGTAAAGAAATTTACTACTTTCGATATATGAAGTTGCAGATAATCTAGTGAATTTCCTCACTTTTGTCACTTTCACTCTGTTTCAAAATATACAATTGACCCCCAGATCGGAGGGCGATGAGAAAAGCGGGCGAGTGAGTTCGTGAGTAGACACCACGTGTCTATCGATAATAACGTAGGCGAGACGCAGCGTGGCTGCGATTTTGCGGGTGGGGCAGATGCGGGAGCGGGTGTGGGCGAGCGCGCGCGGGTGTAATCGGCGGGGATTGTTTCAGCGAGTTTCACCCCTGCATTCACCTGGTGCATGACCCTCGGGGGGGGTGCAATCATTCAGGACACTTTCATCGATTTCGAACGCGCGGCTCCGGCGGCGTCGCGCTTTCGCGCGCGCGGACCGAAGGAACTCCCTCCTGGAACTACTAGCCACGACCTACGATAACGAAGACAATAAAACGTTTTCTAGATCTACCGGAAAAAGTTATAGCTCTGCCCTACGTGGCGAGGCACCGGCGCCTCGCCGCCGCGTTCTCCCGAAATAGGAAATAGTCGCACGTACACTCACACACGGAGAGATTTCTACTCACTAAGGACTCGACGAGGAATTTAGTTTCTGTTAAGTTTCTGAATACGATAGGCGTTCTACCGAGGAGAACTATGAAACTAAATGCCTATTATATATTCTATCGTACAATATAATATAGTGAAATATTCGAATACAGTACAGTACTAGTTTTAAGTATTCTTTTGGGCGGATACGACTACTCCTCTAAGGCCTCGCTCATGAATCTTCCGGTTTTTTTTTCTCTCTCTTTAAAGTAATTAATTCAAATCTTGTCTCTTCTGTTATTTTTTTTTTTTCTTTTAGTCCCGTACATCCACGTTCTACTACGTCTAAGTTGAATAATAATGAGACTATAGACGTGAGTTCGCCCCCTTTTTCATCAAGTGAATCGAAAGAATTCGATAGACGAAGATGGGAGACATGCACATCGATCAGTAACAATTATTCAATTCCGATAATGTTTCATTTACAATTCCTGAATGAAATTTCGCCTATCAGTCTAGTAAAACCGTCGGAAGAATCGGTAAATTCGCGAGTCACGCAGCGAACGAACGGCAAGGTTATCGCGTAATACCGGATTCCGGCGCTTGTCTATAGCTAAAATATACACAATATTTTTATTAATCGTATTACATATAATTTTCACGTTTCGGATAAAGTAAACGATTGGAGTTATCGCGTTAATACTAACGCTTAGCACAGCTTTAGGAAATAATTGCGAGTCGCGCGGAATCCGCGAGGTGTGTGGCTGCGAAAAAGAAGATCCTGCCGTTTAAAAGGTTCCCTCCTTTGCCTTCCTGCCGGGCCTCCGGTATCGAATAACCCGCGTTACGAACACTTTCGGAGACTCGGTTAGAATTTCGCCAGCATCCAATTCTTCCCCTCCTGGCGCGATAATTATAAGATTAATACATATTATCTCGCGGTAAGTGGTCATTCTACGCCGAGAATCCATCGAGCGAGTCCCTCTCTTTCCGCAGTCACAAAAATTATTAAAGTGGCAGTATGCAATCCAATTCGACGAGGATCGGTGAACCAGCGTTTCTCAACTGTCGCGAGACAATCGTTCTCGCTACCTATTGCGTTTTTCTTTTCTCTTTTACCTACGCGAAAATTCGGAATGAGAGCATTTTATATTTACAGAACGAGGAATTGAAGGAACGATAGTCTGTGTGATCACGAGATTTATTTACATTCCCAAAGGGACGATTATCTTAGAGCGTGGCCTGTCCGAGTTTTTATCCGCGAGCGAAACCCTCTCTGTCGCCTCCGCGAGAAGGATGAGATAAATGAGAATAGATGCCGATGTGCTATGTCCATAAATCATCGCGTGTGTTCGTTGTATTCGTGCGCTGCAGCTAAATCGATCGTTATTGCTAAGAGTGTCAGTGACGAGCGAACGGTCGCGGATGGAGACCTGCTCGATAAACTTGGACAGACTTGACCTGGCGAATGTCGTTTTGTGCAAACTGCGATTTTGAGAATCGATAAATTTTCAAGGATTTTTATCCACTACGTGCTAAGATCGCGACGGAATCGTCGAAGATCGAAGTTGAGAAACGCTGCAGCGTACAATATCTGATACCATAGCAATCGAGAGAGACTCACCCAGGCTGCCGGTTAATGTAGAGTTAAAATGTCAACAAGAAAATATCTTAATACTCGTATATGTCTCGCTACCTATTTAAGACATCACTACAAGAGTTTATAGCACTTTTGTTTATCGACGTATCCTATATTATCAATGTACGTAACAACGTATGAACAATCAAAGAGATCTTTTCTCGTTTTCTCTCCTTTTCTCTCTCCCTTCCCCCGCCCCCCTCCCCACACCAACAGCAGAAAATTCTTCCCGTTTACTCGCATTGCCGTGTCTCTGACTAGTTCTTAATTTCTCTGATAAACTGTCGGATTCCTCTACAAATTGACCTATAAATCTGATATTGCTTAAAATCAATCAAAGCCCCTCAAAGGCTCTCAGCGATCCTCCAAAACCCGAACTTTCAAGAACTCTCCCTTAGTACGGGGCGGTCTCCTATCAAGGAGGATGCAGGTCGCGGTGATGGGCCCTAGCAGTTAAAATGGCCTTCAGCTCGGAATCTAGTTGTTTCTTGGTTCGCTCGCTCACCAACTGGCCACCCACCACCGGCTGGGTCAATCTCGGCGACGGCAGATCCGCCATCAACTTACTGCTATCGCGATTCTCATGACTCCTGGCGCGCCGTATGGGCTTTTTAATCGGCACCGCTTCCTCTTGGGCCTTCTCCTCGTCCGCGGAACGACTCAAGGAAAGCGTCATTTCTTGATTCAGAGTGTACGTCGAACCACGACTACTACTATTACCACCACCATTACCACTACCACCACCACCACCACCACCACCACCACCACCACCACCACCACCACCACCACCACCACCA